TATTTTCTTCCCTGCCCAAAAGTTATTTGCAGTATTACAACAAAGTAAAAACCTCAAAATGCTACAATGAATTTAAAAAAGATAGGCCCACAGCAGGAAACGGTTAAGATGAATTAGTTCAGCTTTAGAAACAAAATTTCTGAAAGAAAATTTGCAGTGTGAATACTCAAATGCTTTTGACATCAATATTTTTTTTCATAGTTTGTGATAAGTTTATTGTATCACTTTGGCAAAAACTGGGAAATTTAATGAATGAACTGGTGAAGACCATTGTTCCTTGTAATTAGACTCTTCCAGAGTCTATAAACAAAAACTAGTCTTTAAAGAGGAGTAACACATAAGGGCCTATACAGTCTCTAGAAACAAAAACGAGGCAATGGGACAGTTGCTCTGACTGAGGAGGTGAGGATTCCCTGAGGTGCTTCCCATAAACATGTATTTCTCCCCAGTTCTCCAGAAGCTCCAGTGGGCATGCAGCAGTGCACAGTGTGTATAATCACCACTTCTGCCTAATTAAAGTTGAAAAGAATGAAGCATTAAAGGAGTACAGGATTTTTTTTTTTTTTTTTGAGTAATGAGTAATGAGCCTAAGCAGTCAAATTTATTTCAAGTTCTTCTTAGAAAAGGTACATATTATGTGTTTAAATGATATAAATAGGCTTAAACTTTCCTCTGGAAATCACTTGGTAGTTAAATATCTTGATTAAAGGTGTAATTTTTAACTTTTGCTCAAATGATGAAAAACATTTATCATATAACTACACTATATTCTTTTTTAGGGCTTTTTTAATGTGTATAAAACCAGGTAAGTGGACAATATATAGTACTTTAAATAAATAAATATAGTTCAGAGACTTGCAACAGAAAATACGTCTAGAGTGTTCAGTGAAGTTATGAAGGACCAAACTAGGAGTAGGTTCCCAAGTGGAAGCTGTCCAGAAGTCCAGAGCGCTCTACATGAAATATGAACAGTATAAGGATGAAGATACTTTTTAGGTCTTCCAGGACCTAGACCTGTAAGGGTAAGATTTCATAAGGCTACAGAAAGGCTAGAAAATAGCACAGGGTTTAAGTTAACATCACTGGCCAAACTGCCAATCTAATAAAGTAACGAAAGACAGGAAACACTCTCTTCTATGAGGCCATGATTGTCATTTAAAATTGGTTATGGTTAATGATACTTCTTACTCAAAATCCTTTTAGTTTTTGGTATATACAATTGTTATGGTTGATACACTGGGTCAACTTGAGGCATCTAGAGCTTTGGCTAAGTGACTCAACAGTTCTGCCTCTTGGGGTGAAAAGGACACACCCTTACCCTTCTGGGATGTTGTTTATTGTGTTAATTTGGGAAGTTTAGAAGGTTAACTATGTGACTCAGAAGGGAGCCAGGGTGCTTACTTTGTATTCATCCTGAGCCTGTGCAAGAGGAATGCATGCAGAGGGTATGGGTGTAGAGGACCACCTCCATCCCTCCCCACAGCAGGGAGACTATATAGAAAAAGGAATTGAGGAAGGACTGGCTGCTGGTTCTTCAGAGGACCTCCGGTCTTCCCCTTCAGCTTGGTCGTCTCCTGGCTTCTGGTGCAGACTGCTGGGCTTCCGTCTGGGGCTCTTCAGCTACTGGTGTTGGCTCTCTGGCCTTCATCGTAGATTCTTCAGCATTCCATTGCAGACCCATCAGCCCTTTGATACGGACTTGCACGGACACTGCAGTGAGCTCCAGGCCTGGGGCTGGGCTCTTCAATCTCCAGAGTGCAGACACCCTCTGCACGCTTCCTCATCCAGCTTACAATGGTAAGCCAAACTTGTAATTTCTTGTCCATTTGTTTATCTTGTATTATACCTGTTCCTCTAGTAAACCCTGACTGATACAACAATGTTCTTCAGATTTACCTGAGATAATTTTGGTTCTTGTCTAGAAACTACCTTTTTCCCATCAAAATCTTACAGAAAATTTTAAGTTTATGTAACACTCACATAACCAAGATATAGTTAAATAAAAATATGTTAAGCTAACATTCAAGCCTCTGCTGAAGCTACCAGCAGCTCACTGGGATATGAGTTTGTTGTACAATTTTCCCTACTTCGACCAAATTTTGAGCCCCTGCTCAGCTTATCAGTCTTTTCTGTAGTGTTTTAATAACTAGCAATGCTGAGCAAATAAAAGCTTAATAAATACTTCTTGTCCAAGTGATTGACAAATTTTTACACATCAGCTTTTTTCAAACATGTGAGAATGTCTGCATTGCAACTGTCAGGTACAACATATCTTATTTCCTTAATGTTAGCAAGAATGGCAGCTCCATAGGTATATCACTCTTTGCTATTCTAAACCTAACAAATTTTTCTTGCTTTCCTCAGAACTATTGCATCTGCTGATCTAATCACAATGTAGCTACATCAGAAATTTGTAAACTGGGTCACAAGAATGTTTCAGTGATACCCGTATGCAATGAATTTTTAAGATTTTGGCTAACTCAGATGAAATATTGAAGACATGTGTAAGAATAAATTACAAATTCATATACAAAATCAGAAATGAAGCATAAGGGGCTGGGGATTTAGCTCAGTGGCACAGAGCCTGCCTGGCAAGTGCAGGGTCGTGAGTTCAATTCCCAGTACCGGAAAAAAACCAAACAAACAAACAAAAAAAGAAATGAAGCATAAAACCAGCTATTTGGACAAAAGCATATATAATCCTGTTTAATTAATTAAAAGTTCAAATAAATTTATACTGTATTTATTTCACATTTCGAATCCTAGAATCTGAAATAATTACAATATTCAATAAAGTCAAACTTTGATCATTAAAACAAGACTTTATGCAAGAAGACTGGGGCAATATTTCCTTGCCCTCCAGTGGTTGGCAGCTTTAAGTATATAGCAAGAATTTAAATTACTGAGTGAATGAAGAAAAAATAATTTCACAATACTATCAAGTTCTTTTATGTATTATATATTGTTGTTCTGTAAATTTCTTTTGGCATTAAAGCACTCTAAATTTTTCTGTAACTCCCTACAAAAACAGAGAGTCAGACAGAAAAATAAGGGCAAAGAATTTTGTGAAGCCTTCGACACCTAATATAGAATTTAGTTTAACAAGTGAACTATTTCCCAGAAACAAATACAAAATCTCATTTCCAAAGATTGTAAAAACAATTCAATATATTATAATTTTTGCTTTTAAAAAATGAGTTATAGTAATTTAAAACTATATTAGAGTGGGCTGGGGACAGAGCTCAGCGGCAAAAGTGCCTGCCTGGCAAGAATAAGGTTCTGAGTTTGATTCCCGGTACCAAAATAAAAAACAAAACAAAACAAAACACTACATTGAAGTAAAAAATTTGTTATTGAAATAACTACCATTATGGACACGAGTTCCTATTTCTGACAAAATAGTGCTTGTCAAAATATGTGTGTATATTTTGTGTAATTTGATTTCTTATCTATAAAGTTTCTATTTTTAAAAATGATTATAAAAAAAGATTGAGTAATGCTAGGAAGTGTGGCACACACCTGTAATCCCAGCTACTCTCGTGGCTGAGGCAGAAGAACTGCAAGATCAAGGCCAGCCTGGGAAACTTAATGATACCCTGACTCGAAATAAGAAATCACAAAGGACTGAGGATGTACAATGCTCCTGGGTTGGATCCTTAGTACCACAAAAGCAAACCAAACCCAAACCCTCCAACCCTCCAAACCCTCTAGATAATAATTCCTTGGTTTGCTAAGCACAGCTCATCTATTATTTCCCTCTGGAAAGTCTACATTCACATTAAAAATTTTTGAAATTGTTCTGATACACTGTATTTCTTTCTTTTGACATTAATAACTGGATTTAGAAAACTGAATTTACCTTTTATGTTTTTTTGGTGCTAGGGATTGAATGCAGGATCCAACTGTAAATAAGACTACTATGGGTCATCTCCTAATATAACTGCACTGTGTTGACTTCCAGTTCCTTTAGAAGAAAAAAGGCCTCTTGCATGTTTTTTGTTTTTGTGTGTGTGTGTGTATAGAATAACACAAACAGAAGCTGAACTATGAATTTCATTCTTTTTTTTTATTTTGAATTTCATTCTTAAGTAAAGTTTTTTAAAAGGGATTCTTTTCCTTTTAAATATCCTGCTTCCTGTACTCTATCTTTTTTCCCATAGCAGATACAATTGCCATTTGCCAAAATGTCCACGAGTCTTTCCCCCTTCTAACAAAACAAAATCATAAACAAAACAAATAGTCTAAAGAAAACCAACCATCGAACCACCCACCAAACAGGAGGAAAGGACTGGGATGGTTAGTTGGAGCTAACATATATGCTGAAGGAAACAATGCCTATTTTAAGTAGTCGCTTCTGTTACTGGTTCTAAGCATTTCCATTAACTTACTAATTCACTATAGAAGCAAGGCTAACTAATTAGGAATTAATTTCTAGAAATATTAGTTTCTCTAAAGATGAATAATATTATAGTATACTGCCAATAGAAAAAGTTATTCCATTACCTAATCACTTCTCTAGGTCTTCTAGCTCTCATCTTATGTGTATACTTTTTACAAAATAGTAACCAACCAATATGGATTTTTTTCATCTTAGAAAGAACCTAGTATAATAAAATATTAAAGTTCTTTAGGAAAGGATTTCATCTGTATTATTTAAAAATGAATTTAATTATAACCCATTAGATAGAGATCAACATATATGCTAGTAGAAATGATGCCTATTTTAATTGCTTGACTGGTCAGTACTTTTTCTAAATTAGTCCTAAATTTTTATATGGACTATTCAGCCAACTCTCAAGCATCCATTTCTTTCTGTTTGTTTGTTTGTTTTTTGTTTTTCTTCCAGTACCAGGAATCTAACTCACGACCTTGTGCTTGCCAGGCAGGCGCTGTGTCACTGAGCTAAATCCCCAGCCCCATTTCTTTTAATTTATACTTTCTTTTAGAATATATTTCTTCTAAAATAAATGTAATTTAGCCTTTAAGAATATATTTCTTACCCGGGTGTGGTGGTTCACACATGCTGTCCCAGCACTCCGGTAGGCTGAGGCGAGAGGATCACAAGTTTGAGTCCAACCTGAGCAATTCAGTGACTTAATGAGATCCTGTCTCAAAATTTAAAAAATGGGCTAGAGATGTAGCTCAGTGTGAAGGCCCTGGATTCAATTCCCAGCACTACCAAAAAAAAG